ATAAAAATCAGGATGTTACAGAAATCGTCCAAGCATCTCGATTCACCAAAGAGACAATCTCATTATGTGTCTAGGAGGCATCTCCATAATCATCGAGCATCAATCAGCTTGGTTGACGCTTGTCTTGTCCAACCAATCTGCAAAAGCATTATCCTCTCTAAACACATGCTGACATGCTTGACCAAAATCTCCACTTCGTCATCCAACAAATGAATGCCATGTTTTAGCTTCCAATATTCAGCTTGACCCATATCAAGGAGGTCCTGCAGATGTTAACAAATGAAGACTGAATTGCTTTCCATAATGAGTTTCTTCATGTTCAGATCCTTTGTAATCTTGAGGCCATGGTAGACGCTCCTCAACTAGGCATCGAAGGGAGAGCATCTTCTGAGATCCCACTTGATGCTGGCCAACCACTTGCCGTCCTCATTTCAAAACATGCCCCCACATCCTACTTATCTGAGCTGGCCTTTCACTGTTCCATCTACTTTAAGCTTCACCCAACCATGGAGTGGACATTTCCACCTAACCTCTGTTTTCAGGAGCATACCATAAGAATCACTCATAGAAAAGCTATGATGAGCAAAACTTGCATAGCTAGTAATATGCTTAACTAACTCAAGAGGATTAGAATTAGCATTATCAAAAATATGATCATTGCCGTGCTTCCAAAGAGCCCAAATTGCAGTCCTAAAATAGTATCCCAAGGAGAAACTTCGTAATGCATTTGGTGTTTGAGATTCCAATAAAACTAGTCATATTTGTTCTAATGCCAAAATAAAGTCCAATCTTCACTAGGGAGTAGCCTCTTCCATATAGCCCGAGCAATCTTGCAATCCCTTAACACATGCAAAACATCTTCCACTTCAAAAGAACATATATTGCACACCATTGAAGAGCCAAAAATTTTATTTCGTTGTTGAGCAGTCATAGTCCTCTCGTGTAAAGCCATCCACATGAAAACTTAAATCTCCTCAGCCCCTTCCATTCCACACAATGTTCCATATCCGATCTTAAGCTCCAACTGGCACACTTTGAAGAACATTGTGCATAGAGGACACTGTAAACTGACCATTAGCTTGAAGCAACCATGTGAACCCATCATTCTCATCATCTCTCAACAGAGGAGGTTGCCCTTTAATAAGAAGAATGTCCTCCCAAGGGTAGTAATTAAATCACTTGAGATATCCATCCTACAGCCTTCATTTCCAATCACCATGTTGCTAACAGTACAGTTAGCAATTTCCTCTGGAATCATGCTAGATCATCTCTCAATTTCCATTCACCACAGGTTGCTTTATTTTAGGTTTCAACTATACTTTCTACTTTGTAGAGGGTCAGAAATGGAACTTCACAAAAAATTACGAACAGATAAGCATCTAAGAACTTCAAAATAATTATCTCATCTTATATATTGGTGAACTTTACAAAATTCATTTGTCAAACTCCCAAAATATATTGCACTTTTGGCCAAAAGAAAAAACGCAACAAGTCCACCAGTTCTATTCAACTGAACTTTCAGTGGTCAGCCACTTAATTATTATTGCTCCGTTCCTTATTATAGATAGCCTTCTATAAAGATTATTTGGTTTTTTATATAAGACATTTAGTGGAGTATTAATTGCATTTGTTTCAATATTACATTTATTTAAATTCATTAATTATAAGAAAGAATATAATGCAAATTTAAATTTTTTTCATTTAAATATGGATAAATTGAATGTTTATTTTTTTCAAATAAAATTAATGACTTAAATAATTTTTATTGGTTTCAACAAGCTTGTTAAAATTCTTTATAATTGGGACTGAAGAGAGTATATCTTTAGCACTAAATTTATTTATTCAATATTTTAAAATTCACTACATTCTACCCAAAAAATTATGATACTGATACCAACAGTAGCAAGGGTTCAGTAGAGTTTAGAAATTAGTCCCATACACTTGTTTGTATTTGTAATCATACTTCTGCAAGATAAATAAATAATCAGTTTAAAGATTTTATTTGGGCTATTTCTTCTCTCAATGATTAAAAAGGCCACGTTTTTTTTTCAAATATTAATAGCATGAGAGCAAAATTAGTATTTAAAAGAACTAAAAGCGGATTCCTTTCTTGTATTATAATTTATTTCTCATAATATAACATAAAGAGATCAACGTGAAAGTAGGAAATAGAGGGGAAATGTGGTAATAAAGATTCCAAATGTCATTGTCCCCAGAGGTGAAAATTAGCAGAGAAAGATTCAACGCGTGTGGAAATTTTTCAAAAAAGGGGAAAAGAAAAATTCGATTCCTTTCCCTTTGCTTTCCTCTCATGATAGATCAACTGGCTTCAAAATTAACGTTACAAATGAAAACTGTCACACTCTCTGGTCCCGTTTTATACTTTTTTTTTTTTTATTGTTCATATGTGTTTTCTTATAAAAAATAATTTTGTTCAAAACACAGACGATATGGGCATGTTTTCCATCAAAAATTTAAATATTAGTTTATTATGTTGTGAATGATTAACTTTTTTTATTAGACTCAACTCTTGTTAACGTTAATGATTCCTCTATTGTATATTGTAGATATCACACATGCAGTTTTGTTGTTGGATACCTACATAAAACGCATGAACAAATCAACTTAAGTTGTTGTATCGTGCTTCTAGGTACCCTCTTAACCCGTTCCATTTTCTTAAAAAATATCCAGCATGTGCATGTTCTTAATTACTGACACCTAATTAAATGATATATAATTGACGTTTGAATATATGTCCTGCAAGGATTTAATTTTCTTATTATATGGAAGAAGACTATGTGTGAAAGAATAAATAATTAAATATACGTAAAAAGGGGACGCGCAAATTGGAATAATAACGAGTTTCAAAAAAAGAAGAAGAATATTATAGTGTGGGAAAATTAAAGCAGTGGGAAAGAGGAGTTGGTGACATGTCACAATACGTAATGGATGCTTCTTCTTCTTCTTATTCATCTTTCAGCCTCAATAATTGTTACAGAATATGTGTGTTTTTGCTTTCCATTTTAACCAAACATATCAACAGTATAATTTTGCATTCTCAATATATTCTTTAGCAAACTCTTTCACGGTTTCACCTCTTGAATTGACCCCTTTAATTTATTATTTAACTATTGATCCTTTTGTTGGTTATTCATGATTTTAACCTAAGAAAGATCATACTTGCGCGAGCGAGTGTCTTTTACGGATGGATGAACGAAGGAACTGACTGTAGTACATAATCTATCATTTGTCCAACGTTACCTCAACCTTATCTTCTTGCACTTCATTTTTGTTTATATATCTTAGCTTTGTGCGATTTTATAAACACAAACCATAATATTGAAAACCATGTTAACTTGATCGGTTAAATTATTAAATCGTTGAATTAATATCTTGACTGGTGTAATAAATTAAATGCTTTGATCATGACTGATACCTAATCATGATTTAATTATAGTTTTAATTATTAACTCTTGAATTAATGCCATAACTAATTTAATAATTAATATGAATTCAGTGCTTTAACATATAGATAACCTTATTTGTGAATTAATGGTGATTTCCCAGCCACCTTCTTTTGGCAATTTACTCCCATAATGTTTCCCTCCGATTTATATTTATCTTGTACTATGTACTTCTCTCCTTTTGGTAAAAAAGTACAACTTCTGGTGTTTCACCCTCAAACTATACTGTGTTTTCCTCCCTCATTCATTTGGTACGTTTTAGGTTAGGTGGTCATATTTAGTAAGCATTAAAACTAGGAAAATTGGCTATGAAGGACCGCTTGAAAAAGTTTATATTAATTAAAGATTAATTATTGTTAAAATTTGAATAAAAAAAGCTTGAATGAATTGTTATTAATTTAAAATAAAATATTATTAAAATCTAAATGAATACTTGTTAATAAAAAAACTAATTCGAATCGACAAGCATTCATTCAAGTTTTGACAACAAATTATTTTTGACTGATATAAATTTTTTTCAATAATTCTTGATTAATATTTTCTCTTACACTATGCACCTTTTTCTTTGTTCTTCCGTGTTTTGAATTCATTTATCAATTATTTGGTATGTTCAAATTAAATAAACCAATTAATTGAAAAGAAATAAAAAAGATCACTACATTTTAACTTGATATTCCATTGTGTAATTCTTGGAAGTTTTGTTTCTCATTTCTTCAATCATGTTCTATTATCTAATGGTTTTAACTCCTCAATTTGATTTTCTAATGCAAAAAAATTATGAGAGAAAATTGGTGAAAAGAACCTTGTTGGAAGGAAGATTGATCCCAAGAAATAAATGCACTTCAAGGACTAAAGCTAATATTTAATTTATTAAACAATATGAACAAATGATCAAAATATCCCTCAGTTTAAACTAATAAAATTGAAACACATGCATCTTAAGCCAAAGACATTACACCCAAGTTAAAAGCCTTACACCCCAAATTAAAAGTTTTGTACTCAAGATAATTAAAAGACTTAAGATGTAAGGCTTCTGGCTTGGGGTGTAAAGTCTCTGGCGTGGGTGCAAGGCTTCTGGTTGGATGGCAAGCCTTGTGGATTGAGGTGCAAGTCTTCTGGTTGGGAGTGCACGTGTTGAACCGCCAGTCTTTGTTTTTTGTTTTTTTATCAATTTTGTTGGTTTAAATAAAAAAAATATTTTGATCATTTGTTCATATTGCTTAATGAATAAAATATTAGCCTTAATTTTTGAATTGTATTTGGTCTTTGGAATTGTTTTTCTTTTCAACAAGATCCTTTTTACCAATTTTTCTCAAAATTTTAAGGGATTAAATTTTAAAAATTACATTGCAAAAAACTAAATTGAAAAGTCAATCTAAAATCATATTTGTGGATCCGTTGGAAGCCCATTTAATAACGGGTTGGGAAACTCCGTAGACAATGGTGGCAAAAATTGGGCCTCTTGGTGCTAATATGGCCCAAATAATCAATATATGAAATTGCCGAAATTCATAGTTCTGAGCGCAAAGAGGAGATTCCAGATGAAGAGATGCTTTGGCGGGCGAAACAGTTGTGGAAAACCTTCATAGGCTCGGCGGAACCGGGATTTCGATTTTTCTTTGAGCAATTACGAGTGGATGGGTCAGAGTCTCAGGGACCAAGTTCGGAAGTAGAAGTAACATCGAAACCCTGATATTACCATGTCGCAAATGCTTGTTGCTGTGATTCTTTCTGTTTGCCAGGTTTCCATACGATTGTTTACTAATTTGGTTAATTGGATTTCTCCTTTTTCTTGAATAACAAAGACCATGAACATCAACATGGAATGGTTCTTGCTCTATAAGACTGATTTAAGCAATGGTTTTCTTTAATAGCCCTGGAACTTGTACAAAGTGAAGATTAATGGATTCCTCTTGTGATTTTGACTAAACTTTGAACAAGAGAATCGTTATTCAAGCTAAATAATTAAAGGAGAAAAAATAATTGACAGAAGTAATTATCATGCAGCATTGTCCAATGGGTCATGCGAACACTTCAGGGAGCTGTATTTAGGGGATATTGAATTAGACAGCTCCTTCATTAAAATGGAAAATTTTCGGATGCGGCATGTGCTGTGTGTATACGTGAACCTAGTATGAATTTGTTCAAGACTTGAAGATCATTTTCAGATATTGAATGCATGCCTAAAGCTTTTCATTAGTAGTAAGAGCATCTATCCCAAATTTGGAAACACATTAAGCACGGTAATAATCATACCCATTAATGCAGCAAAAGGTTGAACCTAGTCAAGATTAAGCTTAAAAACTTTAGAAAGTCGGTGTCATCAGATGTGTGGGCATCATTACATGGTGGAAACTATTTTCTCTTGTGAAAATGACGTTTTTGCTAAAGGCATGGTGTTATGATGAGCTATGACAATTAACAAACTTGCATGCCTGCTAAAAACGTCTCCGAAAGAGAGGGGTGATTTGCTTTTCTTTCACATGATATTCAATGAATTCATGACTCACCTAAGCTATGCTTCCTACCTTATTGACCCTGGTGTATGAAGCTTAAATTCATTTATTTCTCTTAATTGATGCATTTTTTTTCTCTGGTATGATAAAGTGACGATTCTTCAGTAGTTTGGTTGCCTTCCTGCTAAAGTGAACACTTTATGATTTGATATTAATTAATTCCACTAATCCTGAAATAATGTTCCAAAGCATCAAATTTCCCTTGCCAGAACAGATCATGTACGATTAAAGTACTCGAAAGAATTTACTGAACATAGTTTTCAAATGCTCACTCTTATCTATTGCAATATTGATTTCAAATCTCCCACTCCTTTCATATTAGTAATTTGTGATATTGATTCATCAATATTGCTGTGATGTTATTTTCAACTGGCAGTATCCGCTTAATGTTGCTGAATGTGGCTTGTGATACTTGTTGAACCCTGAACACAGCCCATGTGAAAAAACTAATTTGGTGGGAAGAGTCATCCCAAAATCCAGTGAAACTCGGGATTTTTCTGGCGTATGCTGAAATAACTCGAGATCATTGCCAATGGCTTGACGTAAAGGTAAAAGGCAAGTGAGATTGTGCGTGATATTTATTAAGTGGTTTTTGTCGTTGATTTTGATATCTTTCTGTAATTGATCACGTGGGAGTCGTCTGTGTTTGCAAGCGTAATGGGCACAATTAATGGGATCATTTAGACTATGTTGGACCATTGCGATGCCTAGAGCTGGCAGAGATCAAAGATTATTTAAGGAGGTGTCCCCACTGTCCTCCCTAGCCATTGCGGGTCTTGGATCCACGAAAAATTTGCAGTGCACACACCCACACCCACACACACGTCAGCCCTTTCTCATCACCAAACCTTGCTTTTGTCCTTCCATGCTCCAAATCATTCAAAATGCCCTTCTGCAACCTCAGAGCCCCACCGCAATAAATTTCTCTTGTTCCCCTCAGATTACCATCATGCCCTCCCACTTTAAATGTTATCAAAGTGTTCAGTGAAATCCCTTAACTGGAGTGACCACTCTATTCGTCCACCTTTTTTCAGCAGCCCAAGTTACTGATCTGAGTAACTAATGACTGCGGAGCGATCATCATCTTTTAAGTTTCCCTGTTTGGTTTATCTTGGTGATCTTCTTTTCTGTCTCTCTAATTGTACTGCATGTAATTAAATGAATTGCAGGAAAATACAGCCTTACTTGATCCGGGACAGTGCACTTTGAATCATTTGTGCTTTATTACAATATCAACTACATCATCAAAAGCTTAAGACTTCGTAACTAAGCTTTTTGACTCTATCCGGTATCTCATCCTAATGTTAGATTAGATGGTGTTCTTTCATTTAGATGCTTTGGAATGGGACCGCCTTTATGTGACATTATTGGACAATGGAGATAAATAAATGATGCAGTTAAAGATATTATGATGATTGATATGCCTTAACCTTTCAGTCAGCAAATTTTGAGGCCTTCACTAAGTAATGCAAGGACCTAAATGTAATCATGCTCCATCTCCTTCATCCCTGGTGTGATGGAACCGGTTGATTTCCCTTCACTAGGCTGGCATCGAGACCCGCTCTTCTCGTAGTGATTTCACCAACTGGTGCTGAGAACAGGGCTGTGTTGAGGAAGGCTGACAAGAAATTATGTGATAATTTTTCCTGTTTGGGTGAAGTTTCGGAAATTGGATTGTTTATTGTTGATCATATATTTGGAGATAGAATGATATAGAGTAAGAGTGTATATGAAGACTTACCTTTTCTCCTTACATTAATTCTTGTGGGCAACAAATTTGTGACTACAGAAGTTCTGGATTTGAATTTTTGGGAAGGAAAGGCATATTCGATAACCTTTAATTTCTTTATCTAACAAGAGCCGTTTAAGCCATTGTAGCACTCACGATAGAAGTTCCTCCTCTGGTGTCTGTTCTTTCTATTTCCCCTTTAGAAAAAGATCCTAACATTTAAGCGTGTCAAATGAAGTCTTTCTCAGTATCTTATACTTTTCAAGACCAATTAGCCTGTGCTTTGAGATGATTTGACATTCTAGCTGACATCATCTCTTGATCTAATTAGCTTTGACATTTAACTTGATTCACCCACTCTTTGCCTACAATGTTACATACAAATAGCAGCCACGATGCCAGGCCTGGAAATGATTTCTGTTCTCTTATTTGATCGTAGCGGAGGTCCGGTGGATCAATCTTGTGGTTGGTAGAAATATTAGATTGCTTGGAAGGCTAAGTTAGGCTTAGGATTCAGCGGTCAAAAGTTTCAGTTAACTTTTCGGTCAAAGCTTGCAGGGAACATGCAAACTAAACTTGAGGTGAAAAGCTTAGATGCAGTAAGAAATAGCTTTATACGATTTACACCTTTGAAGCGCCAAATAAATGAATCTAAGTTAGGCTTCTCTTAAAGTGAATCCTAGTTTTAGTTTGCTTCACGTCACCGTTCTTCGCTATAAAAATAACCCACAAAAGTGTTCCTACTTGTTGTAAAAGAGAAGTTCAATGCTTGTGATGAGTGAATAGGAAACTCCGATGGACCCATGCGATGATAAAAATTAAAACCGGACCTAGCTTTGCCATAAATGGTTGGTGACGTATCAATTGAATTAAAGGCTATAACTTGGTAGCTCAGTTCAGCATTGGTACCACCATATATATATTTTCATTTCTTCTTCTTTTAATATTTTTATCAAAATCATTGTAGAGTACCAGAGCATATGCTACAGAAAATTGAGCTGGAAGTTAAGGGTACTTCGGTAATTACGGACCACCCACATATACACTGTCAAAATAATTCCGCATCTGTCTATACCTCTAATTATTGTATGGAATCCCGAATCGGTTCAGCTCTTGAACCGGTGACCTTTTTTTTTTTTTTTTTTCAGTTTGGGTTTTCACCTAAATCGGAGGACAGTCATTAACCCGGTATGACTTAGTTGACCCAAAGTCAACCCAAGATAACTTGGATAACCTGATAGCCGGGTTGTTAGGTCAGTCGGATTACTTTTTAATTTTTTTTTTGTTTTCTTTGAAATTATAAAAACTAAATAAAAAGTAAAAAAGATTAAATTATATTTACTGTCTGCAGTCTAAACTTGAATAGAGGGCCTTAATTGTAAGTTCAAATTTAAAAGATTTAGTATTCTTTTAAGTTAATTGTGCCTTATTTGTTTTAATTTTTCATTATTTGTTGTTGTTCATTTATTTGATTATTGTTTAGCATTTATGAATTATGACCTTCATTGTTGATGATTTTAGTGTTAGTGATGATTAGTTTTGGTTTTTTTAATGATTGAAGGGTTGTAAATTGTAATTGTAAGAATGAATATTTAGAAAGTTGTATTTTATTATTGTTAGACTTTTGGGTGGTTGTAATTCTATAATTATTATTGTATTTGTATTTATAGTAGAGATTAATCTTGAATTTGGTTGAATATTTTCATGATTGATGTCTTTTTATTTAAATTATATTATTTTAATCATGATTAGTTTACTTTTCGAGTTGACCCTCGTTAAACTACTAACCCATAATTCGTTAGTTTGACTTGATGGGTTCGGTTTTCAATACCTTGCCTCTAACCTTTCTTTTCTCCTCTGCCCGGCCATCTTGTCCTTTACGAGTCCAAGTCCTTCTCTTTCCACAGTCTCTCTCGTGCTATAAAAAGATGAAGAGAAGCTACTACAATCTTTAGTGTGTCCACTTTTAAGAATGGGTCGATCACCATGCTGTGACAAGGTTGGCTTGAAGAAAGGACCGTGGACTCCCGAGGAAGATCAGAAACTCTTGGCTTATATTGAAGAACATGGCCATGGAAGCTGGCGAGCCTTGCCAGCAAAAGCAGGTAAACTTTGATTTTGTGCTGATTTATTTTTGGTCATACATTATAGTAAAATGTTTGATGCTTGGAGTGTAGTTTAAGGTTGTAAATTAACTTGAAACTCCTGCCATCTCGTACTATATTAGGCCTTCAGAGGTGTGGCAAGAGCTGCAGACTGAGATGGACCAATTATCTTAGGCCTGATATTAAAAGAGGAAAGTTCAGTTTACAAGAAGAGCAAACCATCATCCAACTTCATGCTCTCCTAGGAAACAGGTCTTGTAACCTTAACCCTTACGAAGTTATCCATCTGTATGTCTAGTAGGTGATGTATTTTCACTCTTCTTCCCTGAGTAATTCGCTCCGATCTTCAGGTTTCTCTATCCATAGTTTTTCTTATCATTCTGTTTCTCAATAAACTGATTCCAGATATAAGTTAAATTCATCAAGTTTTTCCCCCTTTGGATCGTCCCTTAAATTATCGTTGATGAACATTGGTTTATATTCCTTTTGAATCTCTTTCTACTGTTTGACAGATGAACATTGGTTTATATTCCTATTCTTTGTTGATACTGGTAAAATATACTTCTGACTTTCAAACTGGACGCTAAAATTTCTGCGTTTTCTCGACTTCTTTGTTGTGCAGTATAGCAATGTCGCATTGGTCTCGCAATTTCTCCAATTACCCACATCTCCAATCCCCAATAATTTGAGATCAAGTTTGCTTTCTGCCATATCCATAAATTTACTCTCTGACACCCAACAAGTTTGTTTGAGACTGTTTTAAATGCGAAAACGAATGCATGTGATTCTTTAATGTTCTTAATTGACATGTCACACAACTTTTATTCCTCCTCTGGCATTTTACACGTCAGACAAAATGACAAAAAAAAAAATTTCTAGTAATTAAAAATCAAATCAGACTAATGAGCTCGACCAAAAAATTGGTAAATGGGTGCTTGCTCTGCAAAGTTTGATAACTCATTGACTGAACTGATAATTCGAACATGGTTTGAATTGGTTTATTTTGAGTAATGTACAAGTAACTTCCCTAACCTTTAAAATTTGACATATAATCTCTTAAAATTGCAAATTCGTGTAAATAACTTCTGTCATCAATCAATCTATTATTTAACTTAAAAAAAAATGATATGTCATTGGCAATATACCTCCCGGTCATTTTATATAGATAACCTCTTAAAGTTTAAATCATAGGTAGATGAACCTCAGTCATGTAATAATTTGTTATGGATACAGCAAACAAATTAACAGTAGGTTAGTTATATAAAGATAGAAGTTTAGGAGGTCTTATAATCAAATTTATAAGAATAGAGTGATTATCTACTCATAAAGTCCAACGGAGCAATATAAATAACATTTAGCCCATTTTTGATTTCCATCGGTTCTTTCATAATATCAAATTAATAATATTAGTTCAAAATCAAATCTAATTTTAAGAACTTTAGTAGTAGTACGGAGTTGACTGATTCCAGGTTTTGCTTTGGTTTTTGTTGTGGGTGTCCTTCGTGCCTTGTTCCAGGTGGTCGGCTATAGCCACGCACTTGCCAAAGAGAACAGATAATGAGATCAAGAATTACTGGAACACGCATCTGAAGAAAAGATTAGCCAAAATGGGAATCGACCCGGTGACTCACAAGCCCAAGAACGATGCCCTTGTCTCAAGCGACGGCAGCCAATCCAAGACTGCCGCCACCCTTAGCCACATGGCTCAATGGGAGAGCGCTAGACTTGAAGCTGAAGCAAGGCTGGCCAGGGAATCCAAACTACGTTCATCGCTATCATTTACATCTTCATCCTCTGCCTCAACTACTGCTCTTCCAGCTCTCAAGCCTTGGAACAGCGGTCGTGACCTTGAATCTCCCAAGTCTACTCTAACTCTCTCCGAGAACAACCCACCTACTATGCCTATCATTGAGTTTGTGGGTACTTCTGGTTCTTGTGAGGCGGCAGGAGTGGTGAAAGACGAGGGTGATCAGCGAGAGTGGAATCATAGTAATGGTATGGAGAATTCAATGTCTTATACGTCCAGCCTGCATCATGAGTTGACAATTTCCAATATGGAAGCCACATGGACCTCCCAAGAGCCTCTTCTAAGGATTGGTACTGGTAGAGATGCTGTTGCTGAGGACCAGGGATTCACCAATCTGTTGCTTAATACAAACTCCGACGACCGGAGCTTGTCGGAGGAGGGCGGAGGAGAGTCTGAAAATTGGGATGGTAGTGGTGGTGCCGGCAGTGGCATCTTGTGTGAAGATAATAATAACTACTGGAACAGCATTCTTAATTTAGTTAACTCTAATTCGCCTTCTCATTCCCCCATGTTCTGATTCAAAGTGTGGGAGACCCATGCATCAGAATCTTTACAGAAAAACGGTAAGCTTGCATAGTGGTTTTCGACTTTCCGTTGCTTTCAGACTTTTCTTAGGAATGCATGAGATTGTTATTGTTTGAAAGCGACCAGGGCTCTATCCAGCACACTTGTCGATTTAGTATCACCAAATGTTCATATCAATTTGTTTTGGTCCCATTTTATTTTTGTTTCTGTGTGTTCACATCAAAGTCTGGATTCCCTGAGCTTAGCGTGTGCTTCTTAAGACAAACTTAGAGTCGATCATGCGTGTATTGTATGACTTCTGCTGTGACCCGTAAGCAATTTCCAGATTCGATTTGATACTCATCTTGTCTCATAGAAGAAGTATTTATTGCAGACTTTATTGATTATTGCTGATAGTTCCACGTCATATTCTGGCATTTAAAACACTTTCAATTAGTACAGACTTGCCAATTTGGGTCTTTCTCTATACATGTTGATCATGCCACCAATAAAAGATGAACGCATTTTGTTAAATGCATATTTTCCCCTGATCATCATATTTGCAATCATAGTTGAGCTACTTCTAGTGTTGGCCTAGGAACCAAAGCTGAAAGTTGGGGGCAATAATTCTGCTTGGGAAAATTTTGATCGCTCTTGAATGAGTAATTCTTAAATTAAAAAAAAAAAAACCTAATATAGCCACAGTCCAGATAGATTTTGGGCCAATCCAATCCGAATATTTCAAATATCCTATAGGCCCACTCAATTTAGCCCTTTGTCTAAAATTGGAGTTCTAACTCCATTACTGTTTTTCTTAACCAATAAAAATATTAATGACACCTATTAACTTATCCTAATTAAGAAAAAAAATACTATAAAGCTAAGTTTCATCTAGTGGCCAACCGTGCCTCAAATAAAATTGTTTGCAATAGAAAGATACTAATAAGCAATAAAAAAGAATCCATGATTATATCATATTACTCCCTCCTATCCAAATTATAAAACATTTTTTTTTAGCTAAGTTTGGTCCAAAATAGAGCATGCTCAATATTTTTTTGAAATCATTTTTTTAAAATTTATCCTTGTATTAATTAATGTGGGTGTGAGAAATATAATTTGACTAATCACTTCTTCTCACCTTTTATAATAAGGAAAAATGACCAAAAAAAAATTCTCGTGAAATATATAAATGACAATGAGGTCATATAAAATGTCATAATTCTTCGAAAGTCCTTTAAAACCTTTTTGATATTAATAATTTTTTATAAAATAACTAAAATATCCTCAATTTAAAATAAAAATTAATATTAGTAACCACTTTAGTTTAAGTAATGACTATTTTTTCTTTTAAAAATGATTAGAATGAAAGAAGCAATTATAATTTTTCTTGTGCAAATGCGGAGAAGTTGTAATTACTTGTTCTATTTTAGTTATTTTTAGAGAAAAAAGAGTCATTGTTTAAACTAAAATAGTCATGATATTTACAACACTTAGACTTTAATGAATCAAAAATTTGCACAAAGATAGTTATAATTTCTTGTTCCATTTTAATCATTTTCAAAAGAAAAGTAATTATTGCTTAAACTAACATAGTAACTAATATTTATCTTTTTATTTTAAATTGGAAGTATTTTAATCAGTTCACCAAAAATCATTAATGTTAGACCATAAGGACTTGAGAGTAATTATGATATTTTATAAGACTTTATTGTCATTTGCATATTTTAAAAAGATTTTTCTATCATTTTTTCTAATAATAGAGGGGTTAAAGGCAAAACGAGAGAGAGGTATCACTTTTTCATAAAAGTAAATAAATAGCTTCTTCTATGGGAAAATTGCATGTAAAAACTTGACTAGAAAATTTATTGTGCTAAAGAACTTGAAATTTGTAGATCCTTTAGAAGAATAAAGATTGATAGTTAGATTACCAAAATGCCCCCACCACAATTGCGCAACGTCAACCTCACACATAGCTCATCATCTTCCTCTACCGTCGCCCCCTTGACCTCGCATATGGATCCTCCTCTTCCTTCACCATCACCTATGACCTTACACATGGCTGTTCATTTCGAGTTGCGTCTTATTCTTTCTTGCTTCCCTCTTTCCCCAGATTCTTCTTGCAACCCTATCCATAAATCCCTCCCAATCTTCCCTTTTCTTCTTGATTCATCGTTGAGAGATGATGCTAGTGGAGAAGTTGTCATCTTTTTTGTTTCCCTCAACAAATGCAGAAAGATGAGAGGTCTTGGATTGAGGAAGACTGATGAGATTGGTGCCACCGCCACCAAGTTAACATAGTGGCCGTTTTGCCTTGTCTAATTTGATCTTCATCTACTGGCCTATTTTCCCAATGCTGCCTTGTCTGGGCATCTCTCAAGTTCGTGTATTGTAGCCCAGAGCTGTATGTGAAACTCCTACTTGAGATGGATGCAAATAATTCTTCTACTGATGCAGTTGGTCTTAGTAGATTTGCTTTGCTTCTTTTTCTTGTCTTTGCAATGGCGTTTGTTTATGATGCATAACAGAGACTTTGACTACTTTTCTTTTCATTTTCTTGGATTCATTATGAACGGTGAAGAGTCATAAGGCTTTCTTGACATTGTGTCAATCTAGTAATTGGGATCTTATTTTTCAGAAGGATCCTTAAATGCAAGTTGGATTGACTCCTCGAAATTTTTTTGTCAACCTTAATAATTGTGCCAAGTTGGATGCGCACTTCTTCCTGATTTATGTTTTGGTTTTTGTTTCCTCTATGGCATTCCATTTAATTTCCTTACCATAGATTGTCGTTTGGACAATGTCTATATGTTTGACTATTAGTGTTTTTCTGCTCTTAAGCAATGCCTTGGGACATTGTATCAAGAATAATCAATATTTATTTAAATATTATGCATACAAGAATTAACGTTTTCTTCATTGACAACTTGGCGCCATTTTTGTAATAATTTCACGCTCTTTTTAGCTTTTTCTCATTGAAATCTGTGGTTCAAAAATTACCTTCTTTAATAATCCCCTTAAGAAAAATAAAACTCTCACTAAGAAATCTGTGAATGCTTGTTACTATTCTAACACTAATGAATATGACTTTTGTTTGTACAATTGGAGAAGAATTTCATAGCCTTTATTTTGTCCTTGCATCTTTTTAATGAAGTGATCACAGCAAAAGAATGACTCGTTGGAGATGTATTGAAGAATGTTATCCAATTAAAGCAAAAGAAGTTGAGCAAAAGCATTCACTTCTTCTATAGATAACACTTTGTAAGGATTAATTGTAATGTAGTTGGAATGTTTTTGCATAGAAAGCATTGTTTTTGTATAGTATTTGTTTTAGACTCAATTTTCAATCCAAAATAAAAAAAAAATGCTCCATGATATGATGTTAATATTTAGTTGCCATCCCATTAAACTATTCCAAATTTGCGTGAGTATATTTGTCATACTAAATAAATTTTTAGGATATGATATAAATTTTTCATGAAAATTAAACGATTTAGTTAGAAGCTATGGTTCCTTTTCGTGTTTTTTTTTATAATATTCATGAGTGTTTTTATAAAAAATGAGAAAATTTTTAAAATATCTATTTGTATTTTCATAAAAATTGAAGAAACAGAGGTTATGATTCTCTATGTTTTTATTTTGAGCATATCCATTTGCATTTTTATAAAAATTGAGAAAAATTTTAGGATATTTATTTGCAGTTTGTCATAAAAATTGAAGAAACAAAGATCATGGTTCCTTTTTATTTATATTTTTTTCAAAATACCCATTTGTGTTTTCATGAAAATTTTCAGGATATCTATTTATATTTTCATGAAAAATTGAAGAAATAGAGTTATGATTTCTTTTTATTTGTGTTTTTAGCAATATATATCCATTTGCACTTTCATGAAAATAGAGAAAATTTTTAAGATATCCAATTGCATTTTCATGAAAATTGAAGAAACATAGGCTATGATTTATTTTTGTTCACATGCAATAAGCTTTTGTGATATGTAAGATTTTTTTTTTTGGTCATATGCAACACTCTTGTAGATGTACATCTCTTTCATGATATGCAGTATATATGCAACCACTCTCCATTATATGCAATACTCTTCCGCATACGCGACACTCTCACAAATGTAAATTTCTTTGATTACATGCAACATTTCCTTCATTACATGCAACCACTCCCTTAAATATGCAACAATCTCCTGTCATATACAATGCTCCCTTATAGATGCAAATTTCTTTTATGATATGCAACATTTGTACCATTATATGCAACACTCTCTACTCAATGCAGATCTTTCTCATCATATGTGACACTCTTCATTCAAATGCAATACTCCATTGCAGATGCAAGTTTCTTCCACAATATGTAATGTTTTTTTTTTTTGTCATATGCAAAACATTAGGTGTAGAGAGGACCTTATGCTTTAGTGTTTAATAAATTGTCATTGAAAGACCTTGGGTGACATATTAACAATGAAAGACCTTACTTAATCTTCTCTCTGTTTTTTACCATTAAAGACGTTTAAATCATTTATCCTTTGAAATTATTGACAACGAAAGACCTATTGTCCGAAGTCCTTTTCAACAATAAATATGTTGGTCATGTCTTTTTAAGCAACTTCCCCTTCTTTTATTGGTATATGCTGAAATATGGTTAGAACCTAACAGTGCCTTATAATCAAAAGCATATTAACTAAATTTCAAAGTATCACTAAAATAAACCTTAATTAATTATGTTCTTATAAAGTTATCTTATATTTGTTTCCACAAGCGCATCTAGTATTAGCATGGATTGTTAGTATGGTGTCAAAAACTGTTGCCACATTGCATTGATTATATAATAATCACAATTATTAGTTCAAAACGACAGTTTGATGACTACCACCAAAATTTTATCTTGATATTAATGATTTAAAAGCTTGCATCTCTCTTTGATCCCATTGTTGTATTCTTCCATTTAAAACTATTAGACACTTTTAATTTTAACTAATTCACACTGTCCAATGAGTTAATTAATAACTAGAGCTAATAATATAGGCCAATCCGAATCATTATGTGTTGAAAAAAATATAAGTTGGATTGTGTTCGATTCATTTTCCTATGGATTATAAAAATCATAACCTAACACAATTTTTAAAGGACTGGCGGGTTAAATGAGCTAACCTATTAACCCATTTGTTTTTTTTCAAGAATTTTAAAAGAAAACACTTAAATCATGGTGAGTTCTATTCTTTCATGATTCATTCTATAAGCATCAAAAATATTAACACATAATGGTTATACAAAAATATATGAATTGAATTAACTAAACTAAATCTTGCCCATCAATTTATCAAAAGTCATATGCTTCAACCATTTTTTCTTTTTTTCTTTGAAAAATAATATGGGTTAAAGGGCCAATTCTAACACATCAAGTTTAACGTATATAGTTAACAAGTTATTTGGTTTGGACTAGAAAAACTCATTTTTATTTGGATCAAATTTTTCTCAACATAATGTTTATGAGTAGTTATTCAGGCCAACTCACATAATCAAACTCATATTCTCAGCTTTAGTAACATTAAAAATTTCAAATTCATTCCATATTTATTCATATTAATAAAATGTTTCAATTAGAAAACATTATTAATTACATTCTCTAATCAAAGGTATTTATAAAAAATTATTAATTGTATTTTGAAAAAACTCAAAATATCTTATATCTTTTCACATGATATTTTAATAAAAATATCTTATAATATTAAAACTGAGTACCTTAAATTTTTTTTTTCAGGGCCATGGTACTGGAAGATTAATTAGTTGAGTATAGCAACAAAAGGGTGTGATAGAAAACTAACATAACTTGATATTGCAGTAATCCGCAGAGAACATGCAACTTTCTTGGTTAAGAGAGGCTCAAGGTAGTTTGATCATCACCGTCTACCTATATTGAATAATTAAACACCTAAACACACATGAGGGGTGGAACTGTTCATGTAGTGTTAAATATACTAGTGTAATAAATACAGCTTAAAAATTTCTCTTTAGTTATCATCTTTATTAACAAATACACAGTTCTACTACCACTGTGTTAAATCTAATAACATAGGCTAATTTCTCACCATATAACAAATTGAAATTTAAATCTTTGTTAAAAAATGTACTCACATTTAATACCTGTTTATATCTTGAGGTGGATTATTGCCTCTAATAGGGATATTTATGAACAATAAAAAGAGACAAAATTATGCTAACTAAAGGGATCGGAGTTGGGTCTATAGTATAGAAGGAATTAGTCTATCATAACATGATTCAAATCTCTATTGAAAAATGTGTTTATATTTAATGCTCAGCACTATAAAAAAATTGACTTTCAACGGTGACATTTGTCATCGCTGAAAGTCAAAAAGTTGCCGCTGAAAGTTTTTAATGGCGACAAAAAGTCGCCACAATGTCGCCGCGAAAACTCTTGTCACCGATTCAATCTGTGATGATAACAAAAGTTGTCGTTAAAAGTTGAAAATTGACGGCGACATTTTGTCGCCACAAAAACCACATATCAATGGCGACTATTTTGTTGCTACTGAATGTTAAGTATCAGCGGCGACATTTGTCATTATAGAACAATTAGCAGTGACTTTTTTATCGCCACTGAAAAATAATGTTGGTTTACTTGCACACATAGCACCACCTCACTGTCCATGTGGCGCCCCACCTCATGCCACATGGTGCCATGTCACCTCCACATAGGGCCCCATCTCGCACAATGTGGTACCATGTCACTCTTTATGTGTTTCTTTCACCACATGCCACGTGTCATCATGTCACCAATTTATATTTTCATTTTGAAAGTTGTCTCTTTTAAAGTTTGAACCTATAACCTTTTCCTTTTATGTCCAATCATTTTGCCACTGAGCTGGAATGAACCTATAGTCTGTTATTGCATAATTAAATATATATATATATATATATATATACATATTATTAAACTATACAAACACACACACATATCAAATATTAAATATTATAAAATATTATTACTATTCTTAAATACTTCAGTTTAATTCTTTTAATTTATAAAATTATAAATTATATCACTTATTTTGTTTAAAGTAAACTATAAATATAATTGATACAATATCATTTGTATTATTTATTTTAATTTTTTTACTTCTTCAAGTTGTTATATTATTTATTTTAATATTCATATTTATAATTATAATATAAACAATATGTAAGAATAAATAGTAAAAATAATCAGCAGTGACTATTTTGTTGTCGCTGAATGTTATGTATCAGTGGCGACATTTGTCATCGCAAAAGCTACCAATTAGTGGTGACTTTTTTATCGCCGCTAAAAAGTAATGTTAGTATACTTGCAAACATGGCACCACGTCACCGTCCATGTGGCGCCTCACCTCACATCACATGGTGCCATGTCTCCATATAGGGCCCCACCTCGTACCACGTGGCACTATGTCACTCTCCATATGTCGCTTTCACCACATACCACGTGTGGTCATGTCAGCAATTTATATTTCCATTTTGAAAGTTGTCTCTTTCAAAGTTTGAACTCATGACCTCCTCTTTTTGTGTCCAACTATTTTGCCACTGAGCTAAAATGAACTTATAGTTTATTATTGCATAATTAAATATATATATATATATACACACACACATATTATTAAACTATACAAACACACACATATATTAAATATTAAATATTATAAAATATCATTACTGTTCTTAAATACTTCAATTTAATTCTTTTAATTTATAAAATTGCAAATTATATCACTTATTTTGTTTAAAGTAAACTATAAATATAATTGATATAATATCATTTGTATTATTTATTTTAATTTTTTTACTCCTTCAAGTTGTTATATTATTTATTTTAATATTCATATTTATAATTATAATATAAACAATATCTAAGAATAAATAGTAAAAATATTGATATTTATACATTAGTTTATAATTATTTATGTTTCTAAACTAGCATCAAGTTTTAAAGTTATTGGTGTTAAATGCAAAATTTGAATTAAAAAATTAGATTAGATGAAATATCATTCTATGAATGAATAAATTTAAGTACCAAATATTTAATTATTATAAACAAGTAGTGTTATTGACTTCTACATTAATCCGATGACCTATGCTTTCTCTCTTTTCTCTTCTATCTTGAATATTTAAGATTTTTTACTTATTCATTATAGTTTTAAATTTAATTTGTTTTAGTTATTAATTAGTCAAAAAATATATATTAAAAATTTATGCTTATTTTGGCTATTAAACATCTCAACTGGCTTTTGAATAAAATTATTCAAACAAATTTTAGTTTATTTAACTGACTTTTAAAAAAAAATATATCCAAACATAAATCATATTACATTTATTAATTTTTTTCTAACCTTATTTTACTAACCTCAGTTGAATCTTAACCTTAGTTGTAAATTTTTTAATACAAACACATATGTAAAATAATATGGTTTGGCTTAATTCTTTACTTTAGCTCATTAGCATTAAATAATACCTTAACCTTATTTTGAAGTTAAAATTTAACCATAGAATATATTAAATGAAAACTCATTATGTTATTTTATATATTCATTATAAAATTATAATAATATAACAAAATTAATGTCTTAAAATGTTAAATATTAGATAAATAAAAATAAAAAATTATGATGATAATACAAAATTAAACTTTTAGCGACAACATTCAAAGTCGCTATTGATTCTCAACTTTCAGCAGCGACATACAAGTCACCACTAAAACTTACAACATAAGTTCTTTTAAGAAGTTATAACATATTTTAAAATATGTTAACAATCAACGGCGACATTAAAAAGTCGCCGCTGATTCTCAACTTTCAACGGTGACATACAAGTCGCTGCTGAAACTTACAACATAAGTTTTTTTAAAAAATTATAACATATTTTAAAATATGTTGATGATTAGTGACGACACTAAAAAGTCACTGTTAATTCTCAATTTTCAGCAGTAACATACAAATCATCGCTAAAACTTACAACATAAGTTCTTTTAAAAAGTTATAACATATTTTAAAATATGTTAACAATTAGTGATGATATTAAAAAGTTGCCGTTGATTCTCAACTTTCAGCGGCGACTAACAATAAAAGTCGTTGCTGAAAGTGTGATTTTTTACAGTAACATGCACTTATCGCAGTTGAAAATCTGACAATCAGCGGTGATTACATCTTGTTACCGCAGAAAGTCACTATTTCAGCGGTGACTTCAAATGTCACCGTATAATGTCACATTTTCAGTGGCGACTTTTACTGTCACCGTTAAAAGTTAAAAATCAGCGGCAACTTTTTAGAGTCGCTGCTGAAAGTTGCCATTGAAAGTCTTTTTTTTTTTTGTAGTGTAGCACATGTCTTGAATAGAATTATATTTAATTAAAGAATAATTGTACATAGTTCTACAGCAGTTCGCTATTTGTTTGTTTATTTGTTTTTGGATGAAAATATGGAGAGACTTGTCGATATGCATATAATATCACTTTCAATATAATACATACGAGTAGGCGAGATTGTGGGATGGGACTTGGGATCAACATTGAAAGAAATCAATATTTTGGTCCCAGAATTGATCCTGAAACTTGTGCTGCTCTTCACCGCCCAAACACGATAATAAGCTGTCACCTTCACTCCCATTCATGTTAACGTCGTCATCCAGCAAGCTTTCCCACCACTCCTTCGCCTTCCCTGAGTCTGCACCTACTACCATTTCACTGCCACTCTCACTCTTCTTACTGTCATTATCATCATTGCCAATTATAGGCCTCTTGTTTTTTTTCTGCAGCTAATTCATGTGCTTCCTTTCTCCTAGGCCTCGACAAAGTTACAGGTTTGGGCCTTATTACTCGGTGGCTTTTCATGCCTCTCTCTTGTCGTTTCTTCTTATTTTCTGAGGAAGAAGATGAACACCCCAGTTTCTTCCTTATGTGGGTGTTCCAGTAATTTTTCACGTCATTCGATGTTCTTCCAGGGAAGCTCGCCGCAATCAACGACCATCTGCATTTATATATACGGTTGATCTAAGATCAAATTGGTATTAATCAATATAGATATCGATTCCTTTATTCGAGATAAAGAAATTATAATAAATCAGGAATATAAATTAAGTTTGGATGCTATAACTAAATAGTTTAAGTTATTTCAGTGAAGTAGAATATCCTTAACTGTACTTAATATAAAGAAACTAGCACCTCTCATGTGATACTATGAAGATCATTGATTTAATTGAACGGTGGTTGGAAATGTAAGAAAAGAGAAAAAAACCAAGTCAATATTCTATTTTCTATTTAAAAACTACATGATCAAAGGCACCAGTTTTAATGCTCATGATAAAGATGAGAACTAAAATCTCATCACTTCTAGACCATTCAAATCTAATTTTCATAGTCTAGATTTATAATTTCACAAAGTGTTTTCTAAATAAATAAATTATTTTTGAAAAAATGGATAATTAAGAAATTGTCTTTATTTTAAATTCCGTATCCATCAAAATATTTTTTTAAGAAAATAAAAGTAAAAAATTGTAAATATGAATTATTTAGATTATATCTAAACAGTTCAGACACAATGAACTCTCAGCATTCATTTGTATGATGAGTATTAAAATTAGTTGTCATGATTGAGTGCATGTCGCAAACCTATTTCCTAAGAGTCTATGGAACCTCATTACCATATCCACTTCATCGTCAATAAAGTTCCCACTCTTGATATCTGGCTTTAAATAGGTCATCCATCTCAACCTACAACTTTTTCGGCATCTATTCAAGCCTGCAAAAGTATAGCAAGGAATAAATACATTTATCTAATTAATACGCATATTATATACACTATTACCAAAAAGGTTCACTGGAGCACTCTTATGAAAGCACTTTGAAAGCACAAGCACTCTGTATATGGGTGCTTCTATATGCACAAGAATGCTTTCAAAGCACTCATCGATAAGATTATGAAAACTTTTTTTTTTAATAAACGCTCCTGTAGATTCCACTTCTATTTATAAAAAATTATTTTCTACATATAAAGATGGTATTATAAGCTTTTTTGTAGTAATGATATATGTGTGTGTGCGTGTTTACGCGTGTGTAGATAGATAGGAAGATTTACCTGCTCTTTGTGGAACTAGGCACCACTTTCCTTCCCCATAACGTTGGATGCATGCTCTGAGAAGATCATCTTCTTCTTTGGACCATGCGCCTTTTCTTAGTCCTGAGGGAATCTCCATAATATATAGATACATACATACATATATATATATATATATATATAAAAGGTAAGAATCATAAAATATATAAGCTCAAAAATGAGTACTTTCGCTTCTTCTTCTTATAGACTTAATTAGGTAGGTATGTTAAGTTGCGAATTACATGCATGTTATAAAGAATCACCATACTAGGCTACCATGTGCCCAACGAGCATGTGCAAATTACTTGGAGAGGAACGTAACGTGTAGCCACCTTTGTGTCCACAGAACCATAAAGAGGATAATTAAGGCTGGAATTAACTTTATAAGTGTTGAAATTGTCATGCGAAAAGATTCTTCACAATATCACAGGGTGTAATATCCTAATTTTATTCATGAATTTAAGTAAATAAATTATGAGGTTTAATTGAGAATTAAATTATGTTTTGAGGAAAATTGAGGTTAATGGTTTGGACTCCCTTCCTATGTGAAGAAAGACCTAGCTTATATTGAAGCCCATTGTGAGTCTCATCAAGTAAAATGAAGAGATGTCAGATTAGGTCATGAAAGAGAGATTATATTTAGGATTGAGTTACAACCATTTGAGAGAGAGAAAAAGAGAAAGCAATTTTTGCATTTTCACAAAACAATTTCAGTAAGTCAGTGTTTGCAATATTAACTATTGGATAGGGTTGGAATTTGGTCAATAAGGTAGTTTCAATAAATCAACATTTACAAATTTGTTAATCGTTAAATTGAGCTGAAATGTAGTCAGTAGATTATATTGTGAACACTGTAGGTGATCACTTTTATGTTTGAGGAACCTTACTATTAAAAAATAGAGGCAACCACTTCTTGGTATTATATTGTGTGTTTTGTGACTAATTATGTGATTTTTGAATTATGAAGTGTGTGTGTGTGTGTGATTTTTGAATTATGAAGTAAGTGTGTGTGTGTGTGTGTGATTGAAACTCTATATTCTAATGAATTAATTACAATAACATTCACAAGAAACCAAACTAGTGTGTTGGTTTCACTGCTTCTTCATTGATGTAATAAATAATCATCTTTGTGGTTCTTCGGACGAAATAGTGTCCACGTTATTATCGCCATCTTCAGACACGCTCTTATATAAATTAATTCTTAAATATATCTAAGTGGTCCTTAGCTAGTTCAAGAGTTGGGTTACGTACTTTAAAGGGAAAGTAACCAGAGAGAGAAAGAAGGAAAGAAGGAAAGTAAAGTGTGTAGACTGATCTAATGTCATGTTACTTCTAATTAATGAGTACAGGGTATATATACACGTGTAACACCAGTGTGTCTGTCAAGCTAAGAGGTTACATGATTAATAATATCTTAACTATTATCTAATATCCTGCCACAATTGGATGGACTCATCAGCCCTTAAGTACGTACTGTTTAAAAATTTCAAATAAAGAACTAAAAATTGGTTTGGTTAAACCATCTGCAATTTGATTACAAGCAGGAATGTGCAAGACTTGTATCTCTTTCTTGATAGCCCATTCTCTAACAAAATGAAGATCTGTAATATTCTAAAAATTTTAAGACTCAAATTTATTTTAAAAATAAAATAAAATATTTATAATTAAATTAAAATTTAAAATAATTTAATAGAGGCTCAGAGTTTGAATTTTACCAAGTAAAAGTTTGGTTTTATTTGATTTTTTAACTATAGGAAAAATTAACAAAGTTGACCCGGGCTTTTGTGCAATAATAAAAAATGTTGGGCCCTTTCTTGTAATTTTCCCCAAACTTTTTGACCAACAATTTAAAGGCCAAAACTGATGCAGAAACGTAGAAACTGAATTGGAAAGGAAAGGAAAGGAAACGTACGAGAGGGAGAGAGGAAGAAGAGAAGAGAAAGGGAGGGAGTTAGGCTTGGATCTAGGAGTCTTTGTGACCATTGTGAGCTCGGCTACACGATAGGTAAACTCCCTACTTCAATCCTCTTCTTTTTCTCTTGATTTTCTTCAATTTTTGGAAGAGGAGATTTTTGGATTTTGATTCTAAAGGCTTTATTCTTGTAAGTTTTTGTTTCTTTGAATCCTAGGGAGCATGTCTTGAGTTTCTATATAGTGATCTAATATTTTGAGTGGATAATTGGATGAAAAGAGGTGTTTTGGGCACAAAATAAATCTTGAGAAATTGGGTTTTTGCTCTTCAATGGTTTAAGCTTATTGATTTAGTTATAATTTTGCTATTTGAGCCCAATAAGATTTAAATTAAGGTTTGGTTTTCATTATAAGGGCTAATGGTGAAAGTTGGTGGCAATAAGTAAAGGTTTTTAATTGATTAAAAATTTTATATAAATTAGAAATTTAGCCTAGTAATGGCTAATAAATGATTTTGGTGGTTAAGTGATACTATGTGAATAGTTGGTTAAATATATGGACCATTAAGATGGATTATGGCTCATAGATCCAAGTTATGTGATATGAGTTATAGTCTTCATTAATGCTATTTGACATGATAAGTGATGTGGATCACTTATATGTTGTAAGGATTGTTGGTGGAATTTGTTCGGAAGTTAAGGAACAAGCTAAGTTCTATTTTATACAAAAGGAACCCTTTTGGTGCCAAAGGGTTGAGGTAACAGGAGAATTTATATTTTTATTACTTTGTTTTAGCTATTTTTGAATAAATATTACTAGTTATCATGCATTACATGTTTTAAAAGATTAAATGTACTTTATAAGGGGTTATGGGGTACTACTTTGATTATAGTGCAAATATGTTTTCTAATTGTTTAATAATAATGTTTTTATGGAAATGAGATTTATAAATATTATACTACTTTAGAGTGTTGAATGGTCAATACTCAGGAAAGGTAGACAAGAGTAAAAGGTATGATCTCAGTGGGAGTTCACCAATGAGAAGGTGTGGATTTTTGATATTCTATGGCACACTGTCAGTACTCAGTGTTGTCTTACGTATTGTGGGCTCAGTGCACTAAAGTGGTTAGTGTATTGAGTGTTCGACACCTCTCAGTGGGGGAGGGAATCCGACATATGAAGTGTGAGGTTGAGTGCCTAGGCCAAGGTAGCCCTTACATAGAGAGTAAGTCGGGCTGGCTTTGGGAGGGAGTTAGCTTTGACTGTTCAGGATTCACGTCGAAGGGGCATAGGAGGTTCGGTGGATTAGATCATGCCTTAGATTATGTTTTGTGCCTGTGGAGGTACAAGTAGGTATGAGGTTTACCTGCGAGTTAAAGAGTACCAGGGGGCATTCTGTTGGTCATGAAAGGCCATACCAGCCTAGGTTATGCATTCATGCATTTTAAATGGCTAAATTATATACTATGTTGAATTTATTATTCGTTTATTTGATTATGGCTTACTTTGTAATAATCAATGTAAATTTCACTGTTACTGAGACTGTGGTTGTCTCACCCCTTTCTTTTCAATATTTTAGGTCCAGGCGAAGGATCCAGTGGTGAACGGGGAAAGGAGCAAAGCTAGGGGTTTGCTTGTGATTTGTAAAGAACTGCAACCCCTTTCTTTTGAGAAAATATATTGTAATGTATTTAAGATTAGGGTGCCAGTAGGATATGATTATGTATGTGTATGTGAATATGTGTGGATTGTGTGCTTGTGTATGAATTTTTGTCTGTTTGCAGACTTGTGGCTAGGAAACTTGGTTATGATGTGTGGTTTTGATGGATTTACTTAGTAGACCAAGTTTCTATTACAAGCAGATATTTATTTTGATATATATGTGATTTTATAAGCAAATGCAAAGTGGTTGCATTGCAAATGGTGTGCTATGGGCAAACATACACTTTGGATAGAGAGAGTGGGTGCGTGGGCCCCACAAGGAGCTCTGAGCCAAGTGAAAATGTTTAGCATATGTATTTATATAAATACATGGTATTTAGATTGATTTGTGACCACCCTTGTATGATTTGTGCATTTTGGGGGTTTAGGGTCCATTTTAGGAAATGGCACCCGGGTGGTCAAATTTTGATGTATGGGAGTTTTCCATCATTTGAATGTTCTATCAGGTGTTTTTAATCTTATTTGACGTGTCCAAAGTGTTCTCACAGGTTTATGATCATTAGGATGAGATTTGGACAATTTTGAAAATGATTTTTACCAAAAAGCTACACTTTTGCATCCGGGTGTCCAAATCTTAATCGACCGTTGGATTTTTCTAAAATTTGGGTCACAAGTAAAACCTTTTATAAGCTTCGTGTGGGCTTTGGAATCACGTCGATCGGATATCGGACGAAGAAATGACGCACTCCGGAATTTGGTCTGGTGGTGCTGTCATGACAGTATTAAATTGCTGTCATGACAGCTATAGTAGTTATATTATAACCTGCACAAAATTCAATCCGTCCGTTGGATCTTTTCAAAATTTGGTATGCTAATAGTATTCTTAAAAATTGATATGTGGGCTTTGAAATCACTCCGATCAAAGGTCGGATGATGAAATGGTGCACTCCGAAAGTTGGTCCGGAAGTGCTATCATGACAGCTTTTCATGCTGTCATGACAGCAAAATTAACTAAATTTGTAACATGTCCAATTTTTAATTTGACCGTTGGATCTTTTTGAAATTTGGTACACTTATAGTAACCTTTGAATGTGACTTGTGAGCTTTAAAATTTCTTCGATCGGAGATCGGAAGGCGAAACGGCGCCTCCCAGAAGTTGATTCGGGAGGGCTGTCATGACAGCAATTTAATGCTGTTATGGCAGCATATTTTTACCCTTCTTTTGTCTAACTTGCTTCCGTGCGCTATAGGTAGAACCAAAAAAAAAATTTTTTTAAAGGCTTTAAATGTTTAATTTTCCATTGTATATTTGCTTAGTGATTTAAATGGTTTGTTTCCTAAGTTGGTTTTAGGATTAACTCCTTAACCACACTTAGTTTATTTGACTTGTGTGATTTTTGGATAACACTCGGGGCAAGTGTTACAAGATCAATCTCTAGGAACTTTGTTCGGGCATGAAGTACTTGATTTGCTATCATGAGAGCAGCTCCCTGATTATCGCACAAGATTTGTAGAGGAGTGACAGTC